TAACAATATTACCATCGACGTAAGAAGAAGAGTTAGACAAGGCGATGAAATTTCGCCAAAGTTATTCACTGGCACCCTACAAAGTGTCGTGCGAACATTAGAATGAGACGATATGGGAGTGAAAATTGAAGGTCAATAATTAAACCATCTTTGCTTTGTTGATGATATCGTCCTCATAATACCAAGCATCAGCCAAGCGGAACGAATGTTGACCAATTTCGACAACGTGTGGAAAGATTGGCCTCCAACTAAATCTGACAATAACGATGTTGATGAGGGACGGATGCGTTTCGGATGCCTCATTTACGCTCAACGAAGCGAACATTTGCGAGTACAGTTACGTCTATCGAGGTCGTGAAATCAACGTGATGAACGACCTAGTTTCAGAGTTGTGCAGAAGGAAACGAGCGGCTTGGGGAACGTTTAAGAGCATCGAGGATGTAGTGAAAAGGACCAAGAACATCCGACTCCGCGTCCGTCTTTATAGTCGACAGTTATCTGTGCCCTAACGTATGCAGCAGAAACCTGGTCGCTACGTGAGGAAATAAAAGATTATCTGGCGTTGTTGAACATGCAGTCGAAAGATCGACGCTAGGAGTATCTCGTATCTCGCAAATATAAGAAAGGATCCGAAGTTACGACCTACGTCAAAGATCGAAGATTAGAGACGCCGTCCCACACGCCAGGATATCGAAAATAAGTTGGGCCGGAAACGTAATGCACTTCAACGGCAACTGATGGACGAGAGCCATTACCGACTGGATTCCCCGCGATACCAAGCGCTGTACAGGAAGACCACGGACTCGATGGTCCGATTTAATCTTGAAAAGCCTAGAAGAAAGATATGTTGCTCAAAAAATCTCTTGAGCGACTAAGACCCACTGGGCTACTCCTGCATGCGATAGGGAAAATGGAAGTGTTGGTGGTGCCTACTCTAGCCACTCGACGATCAACGGGACAACAGGTGACAAGGTGAAGTTTGGTTCAACAAAGACTTTCACAATGCGTCCTACTGTCGAGAAAAATTACGTCTTGCTTTAGGATTCATTTTTCAACTTTACAACAAACTTTTTGGTTTATACGCTAACATTTAGATTCCAAGCAAACTTTGTCGCTACGAGAAAATATTGATATGGAGGAACTTTTATAACTCTTTAAGGACCATGTGAAACGAACGATTCGTCCCAGGTCGCGCGTTCTCAAATCTCACTCAGCTACTGTAATGGTGGCATCGCACCCCCATGAAAAACGCAGCACATGTCGTTGAGACAGACGGAGACAGCATGTTCGATGCGAGAAGACGAACCCATGTTTTGAGCGCGTATTATCATCATGAAAATCTAGAATTTCATTTGAATGGCTAACTTAGTTAAATTCCAATTATGGGGAAACTTAATCGCTATGATAAGATAGAATGTTAATGCACAGAATTTCATAACATGTTTTAAGTGAAAATAATACCCATTTACACACTTTCAATGAGAAGAGCGCTCGTGGCGCGTTAGGTGTTCCACGTCGCCTACAAGGTCGATGTTTCTATTTCGCGCCCATAAATCACCAAACCACCCGTCCCACCATTGTCGGTAAATTGGTATCAGACTTGTCTGGAAGGATAAGCAGCACTGATTTGACTCACAGGTAGTCCACTACGAGTCATTGGAAAGGCCGGATATTAGCGCGCGCATCACTCAGGGAGGCGAGAGGAGGACATGTACCGATGGGGTTTTCAAAGCCACCTACACGTGGTCTCATTGAAGTTATTTATAGAAGTGCGAACTGCGCGAGGTACACGAAATCATTTACACAGCATAGTGGGCTAAAGGGAGTAAGAGGATCACGTGAGTTGTCAAAGGTTTCAGCATTAAAAAATGTTTACTGTTGAGATTAAGCGTAAAATTCTCGAGCGAAGTTGCTGAAGTGGCATTATATTGCAATGTGCAAAATCATTTTTAACAAGCAAGCCTTGCTTCGTAATTTTTTTTCATAATCTTCTTACTTTTCTTGAGTTGCAGCCTCTGGCTGCTTACCAGAAACCGGTTGTGCATGCCCAGAGCGTACGCTGTTCTATTATTTCCTCAAGTCAATTTTCTCAAGGTCTCAACCAGCTACTGTAACGGTGGCGTCTCGCAGTGTGAGAATGAAGGCGCTCGTTTGAACACAGACGCAGCCAGCACGACATTCTCGTGCAGAGACACCTCCCTCCAGGGTTATCGCCCAAGCAACGGTGCGACGCCGCCTGCCTATCAACGCTGGTCATCAAAGCGATTAATATTTCTACAGTAAAAAGGACACCCAATCGTATTAAAACATCTTATTTTTTTGATAGAAAATGAACACCGATAGGTTTAAAAAGTAATTCCGAACTTTTTTCAATTTCCTATAGCAGTGCTGTGCAATCGGTATGCATAAACATATTTTGCAATTGGAAATCAGTTTATTTGACCGCTTATTGCTATGTTATGATGTTTTCAATAAACCCAATGATATAGAGTGGTGTGCAAAAACCTTTGCGTTAGCCGGGATTCGAACCCAGATCTCTATTTCCGGGAGCATGTGCTAAACCGTTGCACCAGCGACGCTCGCTCTCCAGTCCACTCTTTCTAGGCATCGGTGGTGCAACGGTTTAGCACATATTTTACAAAATTTTTGCTCATCACTCGTTTTACTTAAATATATCCCTATGCGGACGATGAGGGTCAATCCTCAGCTGGACGCGCAGTTCGAAGTGACTACGGAGAGTGGGCGTGCTTCAATACAAATTACGGTTAATAATGCTCTCAGAGGAACACTTTCATAAAAAAAAAACGATAAAATATCACTGATTAGGGTCCCGTATGAATGATTTCACCAAGATTATCGCTAATGCTTCCCAAAATCATGCCAATTCAAAGGGAAAAACCATATCCTTGTTAAAAAGAAGTATATTTCCAATTGTTATTAAACAATTTCTCCTACCTTCTTGATGTTTTTGTAGTCAATCCATAACTCGGAAAGTTGTGAGTGTGATACTAAGCTTGTTGTTCGAAGCAGTTCCACAGTAAATTCTATAAGCAAATAAAAGATTACGTTCACAATCTTAATATAAAATCGTAATTTTCAGGATTACACAGTTAGATTTCAATTCTTACAAAATTTTCTTGCCAACAAAACCTAAATCATCATTAAAAGAACTTTTGAACGTAGTTCTTGAAAGAAAAACGCCAAACTATCTAACAAATCTTTATTTTCGAAAACAATTTCTGTCACATGCAAGCGCATCATGAGATTTACGCACATTATTTTTCACATTTGCTTCACATTTGAGGATTTCTCGCCGGATAAAGTTCTTTCTATAAACACTTGTTAACCATTCGATTGTGCAAATCTCAGCTCAAATCTCGAATCTCAATCTCAGATCACAAGAATTCCCGAATAGACAAATTTGTCGCGGTATAGAAATGTTCAATGAATTAATGAGAAGAAGAAGTAATAACTAACCTGACGACGACGCTGACGATGGAAGCCGCGGCGGCGTCATTCACACAAAACCTAGTCGAATAACCCAGAGGCGATCGATTGTGGATTAGAGCAGGTCGTCGCATTGGAGCGCAATGCTGCATCTAGCTGTGCTGAGCAAGCTTTTTTGAAACTTGCCCATTATAGCAGGCTGATTTTCATCTTTTTTTCAATACCTGTTGTATTTTGACGCTGAAAAATGATTTTGTTTTCCTAAACTAAGCGAAAAGAGAGTGTGCGCAAATGACGAGATTGTTGAAGAAAGTGTGCCTTGTCGCCTATGATCATGAATCGCGTTGTTTAATCAATGATACAATTTTTCAAAATCTATCATTGGTTGAATTGTTGAACGCACAGAATTGATAAAAACTGAAACATGAAGCATTCGGAGCTGATTAATTCCTTATGGATGCACCATGCATTTGTCTTCAATTTTTAGTTTTCTTTAAGGGTGACTGAATGCATATCATGCCTTTACAATAACTCACGGTTGCTTCCCGCTTTATCGATTCAGTACTGGCTTACCTACAAGCTGTCCGGCACCAATTCACCGACCCCGGAGAGATGGATGGTTTGGTGAGCCATGAGCCTTGGATCGAACCAGCGACCTCGCGTGCGATGAAGTGCACCTCCAACCACTGCACCACATGCGCTCTGTTGTCAACCCGTCTTGTTCGAGATTGAAATTGTTTTGCAGTTTTCGTCATCCCTCTTAGTATTTTCACATTCAATTATCCAATTCCTATAACTCACCAATAGAAGCAGAACTGAATTGATAGTAGATCGTAAGAAAATTCTTAGTGAACGACTTCTCGGAAAGAGGATTTCTCGTTTCATACTTTGAAGTACAAGACTGAATATTTCTCTACTAACACCCAACATTTCGTTTTGCCACTTACTGACTAAGCACTAAATTTTTAGGCAAACTTCTATGCGACAAAATGAATTTGCAAAAATCATAAGCACTTATATCAATATGTACCGTCCGTGAAGTGCGTCAGCCTCCGTGTCGAGATCAGTGTGCATGGCCGTGAATACATAAAATAATTCCAAGAAGCACTTCATATGAATACCAATGGTAACTCATTGGTGTAGTAATGCAGAGTTATGTGTAAAACGTTTTGCGTCAGGCGGGACTCGAAGCCATATCTCTTTCTATTCGAAAGCGGGCGCTCTTACCCCTTGCACTACTGACGCCCGTTTTGCTATCACTATTTCTACGCTGTTGTGTCAGCTGAGATTCGAACCTAGATTTCATTCTTGGAACGCGTGCTGAACCGTTGCACTGCCGACGCCCGTTTTGATACCACTCTTTCTATGCTACAACGCGTTATCTGTCAACAACCGTCTACGGTCTAGAGTGGGCAGTCACTATCGACATTGAAGCCACTTGTACTGACAGATATTGGGTTGCAATAATCAATCAGATTTCATTTTATTTGACCGCCTATTGCGATGGTATGATGTTGCAATAAACCCAATAATGTAGAGTGGTGTCAAAACGGGCGTCTTTAGTGCAGCGGTTCAGCACGCGCTCCCGGAAAGAGTGAAATCTGAGTTCGAATCACAGCTGACACAAATGTTTCTGCACGCCACTCTACATTATTAGGTGTATTGTAGCATCATACCACAGCAAATAGTCGCTCAAACAAAATGAAATCTAATCTCTTAACCATCCAACGGTGCTCAGTCCCGAGGCTGTGAGCCAAACCTCTTGCTTATTTCGAAAAAAATCTATGGATTGCGAATCACTTGTGTACCCGCATCTTCTGGTCTTGGATTATGCTTCACTTTGCTTTGACTATGCCATTCTAATTTCTTACCATTAGACCAACGTCACATCCACACGTTGCGCAGATTTTTGTACTTTTCGCGTTCGATTCTTTTGTTCGCTTCAAGCATACGAAGGTCATTGTACTTTTGGCGTGTGATTTCGGCTCCGAGATGCTCAAGCAAGGGCGTCCCTCCGGAATTGAAGGGAGTGAGCCTACTCCAGAAAAGTCTAACTAGCCGGCTTAGGTAAATATTTGAAGGATGTAGGTAGAACACAAGAACTAGTCACTAGCTTTAGCCTTTGAAAATGTGTTACTTAAAGTGAATAAGCAGGTATATGGAACATTGTTGATACGCCCGATGTCGAACTCTCATGTAATTACGATAATTCGGAGCTTAAAACACCTATGGACTAATCGAGTACTTAATGTATCTGAGCGCCCCTTTCCAATTCACCAAAGAAGCTTTAAGGTAATGCTTTGCAAGAAGAGTGAATTGCTATATGATGAAAAAATGAATGGATCATTGCCAATCAAATGCATTAGCAAAAGATTGCTCGCATTGAAAAAAAAAACTTTGCTCCGCAAATGAGTATTTCACTTTGAAGAATAGGTACTGTGATCCAGTTATGATCATACAGCCCCTAACATCGACATATTGATTGATAAAAGAATTACTTCGACGTTCATAACCTCTCAGGACTACGCCAAACCTTCGGCTTCGTCAAACATCGTTATAGGTCACTAATGCATATTTGATCTATAAAATGACTAGCGAGAGCTTATCCACGCATTATGCCGAGGATAATATGTCCCAGATAAGTCTAACAACAATTTTTCGACTCCGTATAGATGGAAAGCATGGAAAGTCTGTGGTTCGCACCGACGATTAGTGGGCGAAAGAGGAGGGGGATGTTGCGTAGGACCTCTCACCAATTTCTGAACGCTCCCCACTAACTCAAGATGTCTCCAAGACTGTTCAGAATTATTTTTTGCGGCATTTGCGTAAGATTGGTACATGATTAGAACTTTTACGCTACAGATTTCACATGATCTACAGGAAAATTTGCGAATTCCACTCGATTATGAATGCTGTTTAGAAGCTACTACAAGATAAATAATAAGAAAACACTGATACACGAAAGGGCACTGAAAATAAATGACTGCAACCTAAGCGACTACCCACTAATTGATCTGAATCACAGCATAGAATGGAACGAAATATTGAAATAAGATTCCTGTGCGAGGACTGTAACTACTACATCAAAATTTCCTTTGTTGAGTTTTTGTTCCCCATGCCTTATATGTTATTTCATTGGCTTAAATCCCACCTAAGCAGTCTTTTATTAGGTCTCCAACTATGTTTATGAACATGATCCAAAAATTCAAAAATTTAGTTTTCCAAGCAATCGGAAGTATCAATTAACATTAGTCGAAGTATTCTCCGTCTGCCTGAATGCAATTCTACACTACTCATAAGAGGTGGATAGCAACTGGACCGTTACAATCACGCAATTCCACGTCAACGCCGTTGCCAAGTCATTTTGCTTTGAAACAACGCAAAGGCACACGCTGCCAAGAAAACAACGGAAGTTGACCAATTTGGAATGGGAGCACTTGGATCATCCGCCGTAGAAGTCAGATCTGTCTACGTCCGATTTCCAACTTTTCGGATCATTGGAGCACTGGTTGGACAAGAAGAAGTTCTGAGACATCAATCATTTGCGTCGAGAATTAACTGGTTGGTTTACATCGTGAGTTTTATGAGCACGGAACTGATTTGTTGCCGAAGCGTTGGCAGATTTGCATCCAGGCAGACGGAGAATACTTGAATAATGCTATTTGATACTTTCAATTACTCGGAAAACAGATTTGTGAATTTTTTCGGAATAAGTTCAGAAACTTAGTTGGAGACCTAATATACGTACGCAGAGTGGTCCACTCGTCGCGTCAATGTATTCCATCACTCTTATATGAAAATTTTCGCTCTATGTTCCGTGTAGGATCGTATCATGAACGACTGAATTTCAGCCCGTGCTATGCTGAGTTTGGCTATGAATCGAAGTAGCCTTTCTACCACAACAAGCAATGAATGATTGGCTAGATGAGTCGTGGATGCATTAGAGGCTCTATCTTGCTCCAGACACTATTTTGATCGTAAGAATCGTTAAAAAAACATTTTATTAACATTGAAGTTTCCTTATAACAACTTTATCAACATCCTCAACTGATGGATTTTCATAGAAAAAGCATATCATATAATTATCTAGATTTAGTGGCTGAAACTCAGGCTTAATTATCCCTGTGCCAGGGTATAGAGCACTATCATTATCGTTCAAACCGTAGAATAAGCGCAAACTCTATGAGATTTGCTAGAAATTTGATTCGATCCAATAAAACATGCCACTCACTGATTGAGAGCACTTCCGTTCATAACACAAGTTATCACAAACGTTAAACAAAACATGCGACATGCCCCTGAGTGCCAAAATGCTTCCTCAATAGATAGAACAAGAAAAGAAAATCATCACTGGAAACGGAGTACGACCATTTGTGGTAGCTCACAGAGTTAACCCGAATTAATCATGAACACCGATCAAGTCTTCAGCGTTGCTGTTGAGCGTTAACACATTTAGTAGGAAATTGGATGCATTGTACAACTAGAAAGAGAGTACTAGCATTAGAAACTTTCAAACAGTGGAAAGAATACAAAGAAACATTAAGAGAAAGAACAAGTAGGTCACTACGCCAACCTACTTCATAATACTGCTGCCAGCGTAATGGATTCGGCCAGCCATAGAGAAATAATATCATAAAAAGAAGGTCAACAATAGCAAAATAGAGAAAAATAATGCAAGGGCCATTGGTAATAGGTCATTTTGTGACCAAGCGAACTCGCAACTATGAAGTCTATACGCATGATCGCATTTTAGCAGTAGTTAGTAAACTTTAAAAAACGAAAATGATGGAAAACCAAAGACCCAATTGAAAAATAGCACTTGAGAAAGTAAAATTTTTTTACCACTTGGACTGAGTATTCATTTGAACCTGTTTTGTTACTGTGCCGTATTTAATCCTACGAGAGAAGTTTCTGAGTCCTTGCGTATTGGCCCAGTACCAGCCAGTGACGAACTGTGATAGAGCTTATACCACCCAATGATAGGTTCAGAACCCAAGCGTAAATCATCCAAACGAATCAGTGCAATACCCATGAAAGTTTTCCGTTCCATCCTTCCGTAGTCTCCCAAGACTGTGATCTGAAAATTTTCCCAAAATTTGAGTTTTTTCTCACTTATCTTTATAATGTTAATATGAATCATAAGCGACCATCGTACTTGAAGCATCTTTCGCTTCGGACTATCATTGAAGATCAAATGCTGTTGGAAAAGAGGTGCTGTTGTTTTTCTGACCGGATTCGTTTTTGCCTTTGCGACGCACACTTTTCCTTCCATCAGATAGACCTTGACATACGGAGCTGCAAAAAATTTGATTACGAAAAGTTCTCAGTATGACTTAATTGTGACGACATACCAGGACTGAACTTAACTCCCGGTTTCACAACAAGATTCTTCGCTCGAATGACTTCAACATCGATTCCCGAACGCCCAGCCATAATTCCAATTTGTATTTCACCAAGAAGTGGACTAGCCAGTACTTGCCGGCCAACAACCTGCCCTGGTCCAAGGTTGTCAACGAACGTTCCGAGGGGACCGTCCGGCAACACGGGAAGCCAGCTATAAAGATGCCTCAGATATTCCTTATAAAGCAACTCTAATAGTCAACACACTAGCAAAGATATAAGTCATAATCAATAACTTTGCTTTCATGCATTGTTCATTTCTCATTCAAAGATTATTGGCAGACACTCTGCAACTACCTAGCGAGAGTCGTTCGAGATAGACCTGTTTTCCTTGATGTCTGATTTCTACAAAGGACATTTTTCGCACAAATTTATTTGCCTCAACTCAGTCCTAGAGTACTGCGAAGTTCTGCATTGCACTGACAAACTGGTAACATTTCACCATAAGAATGGCAATTGTTGAAGAGGCTTGTGAAGAAATGTTCGTAGCAGATGTACTGCTCACTCACACAGACCGAATCCGTCACTGTATTATCAGGGTGCATCTTTGCAAGCATTGAACATCTTCAACCCTCATTTTCGTAATACTGCTGTTGCCGACATTCGCTAATAATTTACTTCAAGCTCCCAAATTTCTCTAATTAGCACTTTTACGGACTCAACGACCACCAAATCCGTGAATTTTCAAACGGAGCACTTAACGCTTAGTCTGCATGCGATTATAACGTTTATTTGTAGTTTTTATAATCTGTAATCTTCACGAACACTCTTAGAACCTACTGGATATTCGCTTAGAATCTTTTGCAATGTGTTTTGAAGCAGTCTAAAAGTAGCTATTTGTTGCACTCAATGGCTGAATCTATAATGGTTTCAACCTGTCCAACAAATATTACATCAGATTTTGTGTCATAATATCTGTTTCCTGTATCACCCAACACGACGCCCTCGGCTCTTAAAATGTTGATCATCGTATTCGTGAAGACGGTAACTTATGAGTATGATACTTGCACTCTATGGTCAAACAGAGAACAGAGCTGGACTTCGAACAAGTAGTTCGATGTTTCTACATTTTCATAGTAAATGCTCGATTCCAAGCTTCCTTAAGTGAAATCATAAGTGGAGTGCGGCTTTCCTGCCAAAAGACAAGCGAGAATTGCCGTCTAGAGGTTTTTACCAAGTCTGTGACCGCTCATAGAATTTCTGCTGAAATTTCCAACAAGTAGATT